TATCAGTGCCATCAGAATGACAAGTCCTTGTGTCACTGATCACGAACAAGATAGTCAAAATGCTTAGCCATGTTATCACTATAACAGTGTACTCTGTCAGTATTTCCTGATGTGAACTATGGCTACGGTTTTGATGACATAGATTGAAAATACACTTTTCCTGTATGATATAACAATAGTACAAATGTACACATAACTGTTTGTGGGATCTATCTATATATATATATATATATATATATGCATGTGTGTATCTGTATAAAGTATATTTACTATATAATGTAAAATGCAAGTGGACTACAGTAATATGGAGCATTACAGTAAGTATACAGTATTACAGTACAGTGCACATAGTTTGATTACATTACATACCTCTACTACTGTGTACAAATGTTTGAATGATTGAGGACACGGTTGTTCTCCCAATATTCGGCTGCATCTTTTAACCTGCCTCAGCAATTGTGAGGTTATGACTGAGATCAAGGTCCACTATAGTGGCCCTTTTTTTCATCGGAAACGTGGCTACATCCTCGGCCTCTTCTCCTCCTTTCTCTGCCTCCCTACCCTTTCACCTACCCTTTTAGAGAACTGGTTGATCACTGGTTGATCTAACGTCTTACACTCCCCGTCATTAGTAAAATTTAAGATTCACTGGCACATTTTCACATTTTTTCTAAGTGCCAGTCTACTGGAAAATATGATTGACAGATTATGACAACTAGCTCAACCATTTTGCATTGACTGGCTTAAGCAATGAACTATTGCCTAGATGTTTTGGGGGGTAAGACTATTCAACAGAGAACTAGTATAATATATTTTGATCAACATGATATAAGCAACTGATAATGTAGTAAACAGCAGACGATTGTATATAATCAATCGCATGAATGTACAAAAGTATTCACAATTTGTTCAAAAGAATGAGAAATTGCTTTTATGATGTGCACAAGTGACTAGATGATGTGGAGGTTGAACAAGTAATTTTGAGGAATTGAATTCTGATCTGAAAAATGTACCAAAGCGACTGAAAAACTATAGCATCACAAGGACATATAGAAAAAGGAACGTTTTATCAAGACAAGCTTGATTGAAAGAGTCAAAGATATTAACCCCCGGTTTCACAGTCAAGGCTTAAGCCTAGTCCCAGACTAAAGTGTAAATCTGAGCTATTTTAACATAAAGAAACTCGCACTGACTGATCTTGAAATATATCAGTGCCTTTGTTTTGTCTCGAGATGCACACAAGTAATGTTTTTTCTAAGGCATGTTAATAAAAATTACTTAAATGTCGTAACTGAACTATGGCCTAATCTTGGCTTAGTCTAAGCCCTGTCTGTGAAACCGGGCCTAAGAGTTTGAAGAGTTGAGATAGGCAGAGGCAGACAGACAGACAGATAGATAGATAGATAGATAGATAGATAGATAGATAGATAGATAGATAGATAGATAGCCAATTACACAAGAAGAGCAAACAGTTTCTACCTATTAGATTTGGTCACTGGAATTTGATTTCCATTTGGAATGAGCTCTTGCCCTTTGACCTGAAAGAGGTAAATAACAGCACAAATGTAAGTTTTAAAATAACAGCTTTGTACACTGATACAAATGAACCATAGAAACTGTATTACCGTGAAATCCAAAAAGAGCATGTCCACTACCTCATCCTCGTCCTCCTCAAGAAGGCTTTTCAGACTTCTAATGTGAGATTTTTCAAATACAATTATGGATATGACCTGCTCTGTAAAGGTATTGTGAAACCTGCAATGTATAAAATCGAATGTCTTGTAGTCTTTAATTGTTTACCTGGCCTCCACAGGAGACAGATCCTCCAGATCATTTAGAGTGGGACTCAGCTGGAGGAGTTTCTTGTACAAGGCCAGTGGGAAGTCAAGGTTTATATAATGATGGTTGTAGAGCGCCATTCCACAAATAACACCAAGATAGTAAAAATCACTATCATCTTGCATGCCCTGAAAAGACACAAGCATCATAGCACATCTTGATATGAGGGAAACCACATAAGGAAGAACGAGGAATGTTTGGTGTAGAACTTACATCAGGATTGAACCAAACCAGTGAACTCTCATGGACTTCCAGCACCTTCTTCTCCCATTTCAGAAGAGACTGGGAAAGGAGGGAGAAAAATTCTGCCGATAAACCCCTCATATCTATTCCATTCTCCCCGATGAACACCACCTGTACAGGAGATTTTCATTAAGGTAAAATGTTTCACAACACAAGGCCTACAGTATAGTAAAACGGCATATCAGATGTTTCAAATGGTCAACTTTTGAATTTTAGTTCTATTTACCTCCAATTGATGGAAAAATAAGTGGATGTCTTGTCTGAGATACTCAAGTGTGTCCATCAACACTGATTCTCTGTTTATGAGCAACTTGTTCATATTGTCATTCAATATGAATCTGTCTCGACTGCTCTGTATCCTTTCGTCCCGCAAGTACTTAAAAAAAGTACAATAATGTTAGCTGGTTATTTGCATTTACATTCACAGGGTGCTTACACGACACTGTTTTCCAAAACTAAAAATGGAAAAACTTGTATCCATTTATTTACACAACAACAGCATTTTGGGGGCCTGAAAACGCAAACTGTTGAATTTGTGAAAACTCTGACATCATGTACATGCACATGTTCAGTCTATAGATGTGTGCACATGTGCGTAGTGTTTCTTTACAAAGTGACATCGCCAACTACTGGCCTGGCATGCATAATACAGCGTTTTGTAGTCGCTTTCTCGAATCTGTGTGAACGGGGATTGTTTTGCCAATTTTGTTGTCTGTACATGAAATTTTTCAAAAACACCAAGGAAAAACTTCTCCGTCTTTAGTGCTTCACTGTCGTGTAAATGTACCCTCAGATTAGCATAGCATATGTATGACTGAGTACATCCCCATGTCTGTCACTTACACGAAACATTCTCCATTTAGATACAGTGTCAGCCGCAAAAGGGAACTTGAATAATATTTGAATAATTCCCTGAAAGAAAGATGCATGGGAGTAATATAGGATTTCAGTTATTGAACAAAGAGCAAATATTCATATGCATCATATTAAAAGCCTTCAATACCCACAATGTAGTATTTTTTCAAAACTGTTTCATTGAAATCAATGCACTCTTCTAGGTCTTCCACGGTGACTTGCAGCTATTGATGTAGAAAAAGAGAATTTTCTTGTATTTTCGTTTTCCTGAAAGAAAAAAATAATCTGTGCAGCACAATTCACTATTGCTTTGCTTCTTACCGTATCTAGTAGATCATTGATCTCATGAATGATGAAATCCCTGTTTGTGACGTCTCTGTTGGCACTGCAGCAGACCTTCACAACAAAGTATAAACAACTATTATACTATGATAGGTTAAATTACATCCTTGATCCAATGCTTAAAAAGGCACCTGATAGATCATCTGAAGGATCTGCATAAAGTTCTCCAAGTGTTGTGTATCCTGATTCATTTCACCACGAGAAATCTGGCCAATCATCTCAGCAGATGCTTTGCGAAATAACTTCACCAGGCTTTTGAGACAATCATCCGGGAGTCTGGACCAGTACTTCTCTGAGAACATAATATAAAAATATTTAGACAAATACAACAAGGTCAAAAACACAAAGGCTGAAAAGTCTTTCAGCTTTACCTAACACTTTGCGAACAGCAGGATTCAGCTCAAGAATTTTGGAGGCCAGAGCTTCAGTGAGTTCAGTTCGTTGTTGTTTCTGGAGACGTCTGATGAGCTCAGGGAGGAGAATGTAAAGTCTCAGAGATTCCTCACCAAATGGACTGGGATTCAGAGATCGCAGCATCTGTTGAACCACCATCACTACCTGTGATATACAACTTAAATGAATTTCATATACAGCTTAGTTCTCTCAAATCATTTGGACTTGTTCTTTAGTTTGTGAAAGTAAAGAAAAAAGTAAATAGACACCACACAGATGATAGAAAACCCCTTTCAGCACCTTTAAGTTATATTACATTTATTTGCATCTTTTAATGTCAAACAAACTGAATATTTTGGATTTGTTATTACCTTTGATATCACCTTTTCATTCCCTAATAACTTTGAAAAAGCTTTTTCAGCCAGCTCAAAATCCTGTTCATCATGACTACAAAAAAAAAAAATGTACATAAATATTTGTGATGATTTCAGCTGATTAATTTTGGGCTCAAAAATTGCTAGACATATCTATGTACTTCTGAGTTACCTTGCTTTGAGAAAACTTCCATTCAAACAAGCAGCAGAGGAGAACACTTTTTTTATTTCCCTGTAAATATAAACCATTTATATGCATTACCCTACCATATATAAATTGGTCGCCGTGATCTATATAAATTACAGGTCACAACATTAAATACTAGTAAGACTCCTAACATACATAAGTCACTTACAATATTCACTTATACTGTAGTAGGTTTAGAAAGAGGGTCAAATCTATTTGCTCAATCCCTGAAGCCAAGAACTGACAAACACTTTGACAATGTTTATATTATTCATTTTTTAAGGGTGACCTGGACATAATACACATAAATGAAAACGGAAGCTCTGTCTATGGAACTCACTTCTTTATTGCTGCCCATGAGTCTCTTTCAGACACCCAGCGGTCAATCATTCTGTCATTTAATGTCAAAACCCCTCTGATAGGATTGGGTTTAGACTTTGCAGACTCATTTCCAAGTTCCTACAAAAAAATAAAATAAAATAAAAACATAATTAATCCCGGTGCAGCAATAATGTTAAACTATTTATGAATAAAAACTGCCATGTCTTACTTTGAAAAACAAGGCAAAGGAATGATTCTCCCCAGCTATGAGTTTTTCAATCGTATATTCATGATTACATTCTGTGTGCAACAAATACTTAATTTAGATCTCTGAGCATCATCATGAATATAAAAATATTCATAACAAAATAGCCTATTGCTATAAAATGATTTTTAATTACTAGTTGACTGATCCACAGGGAAAGGCACAGACTTCTTGATCATTTTGCAATTTCCCAACTTCCCTTGCATCCAACATCCAAATGAGTAGATCAGCTTTGACGACGCGACTGATACGAGTGTGTGATGTCTTTATGAAAGAATCAAATGCCTAATTACTGAGCAAAACTTATACATCAGACATCATGTGACGAATTATGTAGAGCTAAAGACATTGCACAGTGCATAAAAAAATCTGTACTATTGCTCTGAAATGTTGATTGCTAATAAAGCTTATGAACAGTCTTTACCTCCCACATGTGACCTGTGACACTTCAGATCCCCACAGTTCAGCAACCACCCGCGGATGATGTTCGTCTTTAAATGATTTGTGTCCAAGCTGACCAGAACCTCCTGATCCAAATGTGAATACTGTGCCGCCCTGAAACATAAACTATTTACTACATTTTCTGTCCAGCTTGCTTTTATGCTAAATGCAGCATAAAACCTAATATATTATGACCATAGTACCTTCGATAAAGTAGCAGTGTGTTCCCCTCCACATGAGATGGACACAATTTTCTTCTGGTTAAGACTATTTACAACCGTTGGGACATGTCTGTCTGTGGTACAAAACAGTACATTTGTCACTTACAAATACATCATATTCATGCTTTGATATAGATTTGATACAGTATTGCACACATTTAGTACATTTATATGTAGTTTTATTTAGGGGCATCATGCACTCCTAGACTGGCCTCGTCATGCTTGTCATGTGACACACAGCAGCCACAATAGCACTGTATAACTGATATAGGCTTATGTTTTATTTATTTTTTTATTCTAAATATTTCCAAACTTGTTAACTAGCCTATATCTGGAAATATCTCAATTCTCAAATATGTGTAATTAAATGCGTTTTGCACCTTTATAGATTATGTTATTTGATCTAAAATGGGTGATGGGCAAAGTAGACTAATACTGTAATCTAACTACAGATAAAAACCCATCTTTTTACTGAAGTACCAGATATGGGTGTCATGCCATAAAATATTTTTAATACGACCGACTTTGTATTTAACGTGAATTTAA